AGTTGGACATTTTCGACATCCGGTTCGACCATTCATCCAAAAGCCAATTCAATGTCATCAGTGCTTCAGGCTAGGACACGTCAAGGGCGTATGCCCCAACTTACGACTGTGTCCCCGCTGCGCTGAACCTCATGCTGAAGACGCCTGTCGGGCGACTACTCTGAAGTGCGCCAACTGCAGTGGTCCTCATGCTGCCTCATCGAAAGACTGTCCTTGAATCCAAAAGGAGCTCGCGGTTCTCAGACAAATGGCCCGAGACAACTCTACACACAGGGAGGCAGCCGAAGTAGTCCGGGGTCTACGTCGACGTCGGCATCATCGAAAGTCTTCAAAGAAGGCACATTCCCGAGACGCTCCTTCCCACTCTTTAGCGGTTCTATCCAGTAGCGCCGCGAAAGGGCCCACCACTTCTACGAAAGAAACAGAGAAGCCTCCTCTCTGGAAGAATGGCCCACGCTCCCGACGCGCTCTTCTGCCAGGTTGCAGGTTGTGGCCACACAAGAGCCGTCTCCAACCATGGAAGATTTGCCTAAAACTGATCGTCAAGTGATCTCGGTGCTGCGTTCCCTTATAGAAGCCATCCGAGCGATATTAGTCGACATGAAGACACCATCTGCGCGAAGCGCACTTGGACTATTGGACGCCTTAAGGCCAGTGCTTGAACCTCTCAACTAGGAAGATGGCTACTCACACCTCAACATTTCGTAAAGAAGTCAAGGCTGCATCTGTCATCTAATGGAACGCCAAAGGAATAAAATCAGGCCTTTCAGATTTTCGTCAGTTTGTGTTTACCAACGTGTTTCCAATCATCGTCATTTGTGAAACCACTTTGTCGAAACCAATAAGAATATCGGGGTACGAAGCTGTCATGTCTTCAATGAACGGTGCGCACAGGAAAATCATCGTCTTTGTTCGTCGTGAACTGACGTATGTTATGCAACCAATTGCACCTCGCGATGACAATCAGTATGTCTGCATCACTGTGAAAAAGAACAAACTCATGTTTACTCTCATAGGCGTTTATATATCGCCGTCGAATAATCTCGATTCCAGGAAATTAGCGGATATTTTGAGAGTGTGTCCTGCACCATGGGTCCTCATAGGTGATTTCAATGCGCACATTCACGCATGGGGAAGTACGCGGACAATTGCAAGAGGACGCAGGTTTGCAAACACAGCCTACAACTATGGCCTTACTCTCCTGAACGACGGAAGCCCCACTTTTCTTCGAGGGGTGACTTGCGGCAGCTGTCTCGACCTTGCCTTTGTCTCCAACTCCCTCGCGAGATACGTCAAATGGTTTCCAGATGTTGAGACACGAGGAAGTGATCACATTCCAATCTACCTTAACATCAAAGGCTTGTCTAGTTATGGTCCACGGACGACCATTCGAGCAGTCCAATGGACCAACTTCAAATCTGACATGGAAGATGCTTGCAGCGATGGCCTACGATCTGGGTTAGAGGAAACAATTAAGAGCACAATGCAAAACGCCACTCGCACGGTGACAATATCTTCCACACGAAACTACTTTGATATAGAGTTGGAGCGACTCCGAGCACTGCGACGCCGGGTGGAGCGTCGGTATCGGCGTACAAAATCAATTCACAATCTCAGGGCAGCCAGGAGGTTGCAAAAGAAGATTCGGCGTCGCATGGATTGATTAGCGTCGGAACGATGGACAACGTTTTGCCAGTCACTAGACACTCGCAAGCCACTCTCGCACATTAGGAAAACTGTGCAAGGTCTGCGTCGCCCTACGGAACAGCGCTTTCCATTCAAAGCACTCGCGCTATTTCAAAGGAGGCAAGACATCGATGTCGCAGAAGATTTCTGTGTGCAGATCGCCAACCAAGCCACTCGTCCAGATTCTCCAGTGAGAGGTGACGTCCCCCGTTCCCGTGACTACCACATAGACCTCTTTTTTACAATGGAGGAGCTAGAGGCGGCACTAGCTCTCTGCAGGCGTTCAACTTCTCCGGGTCCAGATGGTATTCCGTACCGAGCCTTGTGCAACCTTGGGGAAGGTGCAAGGAGAGAACTGTTGAGCCTCTACAACATATCGTGGCAGGATGGCAATGTTCCTGATGACTGGAAAGTAAGCCGCTTCTTACCAATCTTGAAGCAGGGCAAATCCCCACTAGAACTCACCTCATACCACCCAATAGCACTGGCCAGCTGCGTATGGAAGATAATGGAACGAATGATACTGGGCCGCCTGGAGTGGTATCTTGAATACTACAAGATTTATCCAAATTCAATGGCTGGTTTCGACGCGACCGCTCTTCTATTGACAATGTCGTTAATCTAGTTTCGTACGCTGAGCACGAAAGATCCCGTAAGCGACTATCTGCAGCTTTGTTTCTAGAGGTGAAAGGCGCTTATGATAATGTACTACATGAAGCCATTTTGGATGCTCTTGCGGTGGTTGGCCTTGGTGGTCGAGTCTTTCGGTGGATTTCGAGTTACCTGGCTGCAACATCATTATTTGTGTTAACAGAAGATGGCCCAACTACGCGACCTATACTTCAAGGGTTGTTCCTCAAGGCGGAGTTGTTAGCCCGACGCTATTCAATCTTGCACTAATTGGCCTTGCTGAATACTTGCCAAGCACCATTAAAATCTCAATATACGCAGACGACATCTGTGTCTGGACATCGGCAGTCACACGTCCCCAGATACGTTCCCGGCTTCAAAAAGCAGCAACTATGATTGCCAACTACTTGTGCAAACAAGGTCACAGCATATCACCAGAAAAATGCGCGCTGGTGGCTTTCACTCGCCAATCAATGACCCCTTATGTCATCTCAATCTGCGGGTGACCGATTTCTTACGCCAAAACCCACCGCTTTCTGGGCATCATTATTTATAGGGACCTCTGTTGGAGTCCGCATGTGACCTATATGAAGAAGCGCCTGACCGCTATTTTCCAACTGTTCAAGTTCCTGGCAGGAAAGACGTGGGGGATGTCAGTAGACGCAATGATGAAGCTCTACAGGGCCCTGTTTCTCGGTTTCCTCAGATATAGCTTGTCCGTGCTTAGGAATACCTGCAAGACCAATGTTCATGTTTTACAGGCAGTACAAGCCCAAGCGCTGAGAGTGTGCCTCGGTCTGCCCAGATGTACGTCAACAGAAGCAACAATTGCAATTGCTGGTGACTATCCGATACAAACTCACATTGTTGTAGAAGTCCTGAGAACGCACATCAGACACTTCGCACGTGCTCCCTGCCATCACCTTGCACTGTTGCCTTCAGAGAGGCACCAAGCATCGTTCGCCAAAATGATTGTGAAATACAACGATAAACTTCCCTCGCGCTTCACTCATGCATCTAAACCATCCATACCACCTTGGTGTCTTATTCGGCCCACAGTGCATCTTAGTGTACCAGGGATCCGGAGGAAATCTGAGCTTTCATCGCCCGTGCTGAAACAACTGTCTCTTCTTCTTTTGCACGAGAAATATTCAGACAGCATACATGTATGCACCGATGCTTCCACGAACCACTAGTGTTCGTCAGGGGCAGTAGTTATCCCAGCAAGAGTTGTTACCATCAGCTTTAGGACTGACCACTCCACGGCATCTACAGCAGCGGAACTAGCTGCTTTGCGCGCTGCACTTTGTGTGGTCAATCGGGAACCGCCGAAACAATGGTCGATTTTCAGCGACTCAAGAGCTGCCCAACAATCTGTGCTCTCAGCACTGCGTCGCGGCCCGTACGAACAGCTTGTTTTCAAAAGTTGATGCCTTCTCCACACTTTACTCGAGAAAGGGCATCATGTGACGCTTCAATGGCTACCAAGTCACTGCGGCATCATAGGGAACGAACATGCCGATACTGCCGCGTGGGCAGCCCTTGAAGGAACACGAGAAGAACCCATACCACTTTCGCGGACTGATGCTGCCAGTTCTCATCGGCGACTTGCGCGTAAAATCACGTTTTCACTATGGTGCCCACCAAGCATCGATACGAATCGTCAACACCACCTGTCCTCTTTGATGGCTCGCCGCATGCCCACTGGACTCGACCGAAGAGAAGCCAGCCTTCATCGCTTATGGCTAGGATTGGTATTTACAAAATCTTACTCCTTTGTCATAGCAATGGCCGACGACGCTCTCTGCGATGCCTGTCATTGCGAAGAGACGCTACACCACATCCTGTGTGACTGTTCATTTATGAAATCCAGAGACAGTCACTGCCGTCCGCTTTTGCGCGCATCGACAACAGCCAAATGTCTGTGGACACTATTCTGTCAAGTGCCCGAGAGAAGACATTGCAACAGAAGGCGACGAAAGCTCTGTTGAAATTCCTACGCGACACCGACTTGAACAAGCGACTGTAACAGCAATGTCACACACCACGAAAGACAAGACTGGACTATGACTGAGTGTGCGCGCGTGTGCTGCCGAATGTGCTGTTTTTCTCTTCCCTCTCTGCTCTATTTCATCTCCTCCATCCCTCTTTCAGACTTTGCAGTGTGGGTGTTGACGCCGCAAGCAGCTGGACTTTCTGCCTATTGATACGCTAGACTGCTAGATAGCCTCCGAATTTCACTGACATCATTTTGAATACAATAATGAAGTTTAACATTATGGCAAATCACGTTTATAAGTATGTGCAGGGTTCTCCTTTAATAATGCAGAACAAGGTTCATTGCCGCACCCTCCTCCCTAGTATGTGAATGAATAGGGCTGACCCCCTCTTCCTCCCCGAGTAGCCGCGCCGCACTCCCTATATGTCAATTTATGAGGCTCACTTTGCGCCACCCCCGAAGGTCACTAGGGGTGCCCCCTCCCTTCCCCTGCCACCCCCACGCGCATTTACAAAACTATGTTCATTGCGGTCCATAGTAGACACATTGGTGCTGTAAACAAGATTTTGTAAGAGATAGCATTAGTGAAATCATGGAAGTTATTTTGTCTTACGATAGAGACTGTTAAGTGTCATTTTGCTTAAAAATTTTTTGCATGCTGAGTCGTATTACAACGAAATTTCAGTGTTTCATACGCCTCTCCTGTGGTGCAACATAGCAATTGGATTATCAGGAACAGTCTACACAGCACTGGTAAGAATAATGTGTACTTCCTTTTGAAAAATATGTTCTAACTCTATGAAAAAGATTTGCAGAAGTATTGAAATAGGCACTTTGCTTTTGCTATCCTCATTTAATGCAAGCTCACGCTATTTTAATAGTAACTAAAACTATGACATCAGAGCACAATGAAATTGGCAATTTTGTTTCGCGATTTCACTGCACGTCAAGCCTGCATCCTTTTATACTGTAGAAAACGTATGCACGTAGCTTTGAATGGAAAACTTCTGAGGCACGACTCGTATGAGTTTCAAGGTAGAGCCACTGAGAGACCATTGCCCACTAGGAGTAAATGGAGAATACTATTTGCTGCTACATGACAATTTTATTTCAAGGGTGGACTACGAGGTGTGGTTTGGACTGACTGTGTTCAGTTCTTTATAATACTTTGTGCCCCCGCTACCATCGTGGCTAAAGTTATGTACGACTCCATGTCACCTATCTCCGTGGTGCATCCACCAAATGACCTGGACATCTCCAATTACATTGCAAGGTAAGTGCATTGGACTGTAAAGCATTGTCTTCTATACTAGTAAACGTCAAATTTTATCTGCAGTGAACATTCCGGGCATCACGAACTGGGCTTAACTAAATTTTCTTTGTCGTGAAAGTGAGTGACCGCTTAAACACTTCAATGTGAAACACTCAATGTGAAAATTTCACCTCACATACTAAAATCAATCGTGCGGCGAACTTCCTCAAGGGTAAACAGAGGTGTCTTGTAGGCAAAAAAGCCTGGTAACGTATGAGGTTTGAGTGAAGTCATAAAAAAAACGACTGCATTGTTTTGCGTCAATCGCAGGATTGGATGCCGTAATTTTATGGAGTTTTAAATACGGCCCCCGACAAAAATGCAGCCAGTCTCAACACCAAACATTTTTTCGTCCTAATAGATTCAACTTGAATTTTACCAGCGATGAAAACGTATGGAGTGGCCTCTTCGGTGGAGTCGCCCCAAGAATATACCGCCTGTGCTTTGACCAAGTTGTTGCGCAAAGAATGATAGCATCCAAGACACTCAAAGACGCCCAAAGGTAAGATATCCTGCTTTCTAAATGCCCCTAAGTTAGGTTAGACTGCTGGACAGACATATAGAAATGCCTTGATTTAATTATACCTTAAGGGAGTTGGGATACTTAGGTTGAAATAAACGGCACGCGGAGAGGAAGAACGAGAAGGTGTGAACGTGGTGAGTGAGACAACGAATGAGTGAAATGAAACGAACAGGAAACAAAGGAATGAAGCCTCACTGATATTTTATGCAGTGAGATCCTGGAGAACCACATATATACATAGGAAGACACTGCGTACGCCGGAAACCAAGTCACTGGGACATGCGCTAGAGACATGAATTCCAGAGTTATATGAAAGCTGAGGTATGCGCGTAGAGAGGACACTTAATTCCCTATCAGCGACGCTTGCTTTCACGAATAAGCAGACGTACGCTCGCGTTCCAAAATTTCAGTCTGCTTGGCGTCCACGGCGGGAAAATAAACGTTTGCTTTCTGTCGCAGTGGCAGCTTCTACAATTCTGAATTGTCTCTTCCTCACCTTCACATCTCTCCATCTCACTTCAAGTTTCCTTTTTAATTCTCTTGCCATGCTACACTATTACACACCATAATACTATGCTATTTATCAGCTCCACGTTTCCATCTTTCCTAACTGCCCTTTGCTTTCCAACCCTGCGCTATGCGGTTATGACATGCTGTTTTGCACTGACGCCTTTCTCAGCATCACATCTCGGATCCTCACTCTGACACTTTTTCCCCCATCATTCTTCTGTATCACACAAGGCTATGCCACGCTGTACAATGCCCTCCTGTTTTTATTTCTTTCCACCTCATATTCCTCATCAAGCTCAATATTCTTTTTCTTTTTCTGCCAATGGCGCTGCCAATAATGGCTGGCATACTGGCGCTGCCAATGGATAGCTTCCTGCTTAGCTCAATTAGAAGAACCACCACTCTGGAAAGGCGTTGGTCGTGGCTTCGAATCCTGGAGTGGGACAAATGTTTTTGCAGAAGAAGCTTTTCTTTCTGAGCAATCGATATAGACTTTTTTCTAGCTCCATGCTACAAGCGGGTAGTTGTATTCTTTCCATGTCTCATTGCTGTACAATAGTTTTGCCCACGTGACGCCAAGCGACATGAGCTGACGAAGGCAGTGTATGATAGCTGGTTGCGGCAGCGTATGGCAGCCCAGGCTTCTAAAGTGCACCGCACTTAGAAAGATGGATCTTTAAGTAGCGTTGGTTGCGCAAATACTCGGACTGTGACGCGTTCACGAACAAGCATGGACAAGGTGTTCTAAAGACCTCTTAGCAAAGGACGCCTTGCCTTCTCACTTCCCGTATCACTGCGTGAAATGCATATGTGGACCATTGCTGGGCAGCGAATATATTTTGCGAAAGAGTAAATATAAAGTGCTTCGGGAGATCGCTGAGAACCATGGTTACAGAACTAAGGTTTTTGTTGGGTCACCGTTCTCTCCATGATCATTGGTCCTAATGATTACTATCATGTGGTTGATAAGGTTTGATAAGGTGGTGGTGCTAGAGAGCGTGATATATTGCTGTGCTTGGTCTTTCGCGCGAGATTTAAGTTTGTAAAGCAGAGCTGTTGAAAGAATGAGAGTTACTTGCAAGTGTGCCGTTGTCCGTATTTCCATTTCTGCGTCAGAGACTTCAGTATTTGCGCCATGATTTTCACTTAATCACATACCAACTAGCCCGACTACAAGCACTACAACAGTAAAGTAGACAAGCTTTCACGGGCTTATTTCCTTTCTTGTGGTCTAATTGTACTCATCATGGACACATAATAGCGCGACACGAACGAGGACAAGAAAGGGAAGACATACTATAGTCTGTCGATACTATACTAGAGTCTGTCTAGCCTTTCGTCAAACATCCTACCATTCCATGCTAATTTTGGCTTACCCCAAGTTAAGGGGGTGGTTTTGAGAGCACTCTGACGTTAGCAGCTAGATAAAAAAATAGATAGATAGATAGACAGATAGATGGATAGACAGATAGACCCTTCGTGTGATACTGCAATGTACTCAAAATTATCATGTCTCCAAACAAAAACAATGCAGGTGCAGAGTAGAGTAGATAGCGTTTTAATAAATTTAGCACTGGTGTAAACAGAAAACACAAGAGACGCAGATATTAGGCATATACTTTCATGAATATTCATGTATATTCTCATATGAGGCAGCCCTCGAATGAAAAATCTACTGCACAAAAATACGTGAAAAAATTTCCGCTAATAGAAAGACATCTTTAGGCATACGCCTCGTTATCTGCAAATAAAACGCTCATTGATCTTTTATATATTTGTAATATTGTTGCGGGTTATAAAATACAGAGGATTTTTTTAAGAACACGCACAGTGGAACTCGTAGAGACGCTCTCAAAAGAAGGCCGCTAACATTGTCGTCTTCTTCACTGACCTGCGCTGTGCCTCTCGAGCAAATGCGCGATCTTCGTTGTCGTCCCTATCTCGCAGCTAGACACAGCTATGCACGCGGCATTACCCTCCCACCAGAGTGAGCGTCGTACCGATGCTTACCAGATAGAGATGCGGTCAGCAGGTGCTTACATCACTCAGAGTGGTAAAGTTTCATGCGGACCACGTGCACTGTCTCAGGTAGATTCTGGCGACGTTTCGAACAGAAGGCGGCTTCGGGCACGACTTCGTACGTCACGTCGCTAAGACGGGGCAATAACTTGTAGGGTTTAAAGTATCGGCGTAGGAGTTTCTCCGAGAGGTCTCGCCGTCGTACAGGAAACCAAACCCAGACTCTATTTCCTGGTTAGTAAGAGAGGAATTGATGGCGAAGGTTGTACCGTTGGGCGTCAAGTTGCTGCTGGTTTGTTATTTTGACGTGGGCAAGGTGCCTTGCTTCCTCGGTGCGCTCAGTGAAGTCTGCGGATTATGTCTCTGAATCATTACAATCATAAGGTAGCATGACGTCAAGCATTGTAGTAACTTATCTGCTGTGAATTTGTGCGAACGGCGTCATTTTCGTTGTTTCTTGGCGCGCCGTATTATACGCGAATGCCATATACGGCAATATTTGGTCCCTAATCTTGTGTTCCACGTCGATGTATCTGCAACGTATGTCAGCGATTGTCTTGTTAAGTCGTTTTGTAAGCCCATTCGTTTGTGGGTGGTAAGCTGTCGTCTTCCTATGCGCTTTGTCAGTGAGCGTAAGCACAGTGCGCAAAAGCTCAGCTGTAAACCCGGCACCTTCGTCTGTTATGACGACAGCCGGAGCACCATGTCTCAGGACAATGTTCTTGATGAAGAACTGTGCCGCTTCAGCTGCAGTGCCACCCGCAATCGCCTTGGTCTTCGCCTATCGGGCGAGGTAGTCCATCTGCACTATAACCCAATTGCTGCCGCTGTCCGATGTTAGGAATAGGCCCAGCAGATCCATTCCAATTCGAGAAAGCAGAGTTTCTGGCACGTACACAGGATGCGATAGCCCAGCGGGTTTGACAGGGGGTACCTTTCGCCACTGGATGTCAATGCATGTTCGGACATAAAGTTTCACCTCTGCTGCAATTCTTGGCCAGTAATATTTTTCTTTGACGTGCGTCAGTGCTCTTGTGAATTCGAGGTGGCCCGCAGGGGCTTTTTCATGGCAAGCTTGGAAAATTTCGCTGCGGAGAGCTTCAGGAACTACCAGCAGATAGCTTCCACCTGCTGATGAGCAATTCCTTTGTACATAATTCCGTTCGTAAAAAGAATGACAATAAGTTCTTCGAAAACACTCTTGGTGTATTGACGGCTTGTCCGTTTAAGAAATATATGAGCAAGTTAGCTCCCGATGATCTTGTAGTTGCCGAGAAATGATAGCCACATCAACAACTCCTAAAAAACCTTTGAATTAATCATCCTCTGTAGCCCGTGATTCAATCGGTGACCTTCATAAACATCGGCGTCTAAGTGTTGCTTTCCCGACTTGTAAACTAGGGCCATGTCGTACTCTTGGAGCCATAAGCTCCATCGTGCGAAACGTCCAGATGGGCCTTTCATGTTGGTCAACCAACAAAGAGGGTGATCGTCGCTTACGACTTGGAAAGTGCGGCCTTATAAGTACGGGCGGAACTTCGCAACTGCTCAAACGACAGCCAGACACTCCTTTTTTGTTGTTGACTAGTTGGACTCAGCGCGTGCCAACATTCTGCTAGCATAGGCAATTACTCTCTCCACACCATCTAGGCATTGAACAACAACAGCACATAGACCCACATTGGTGGCGTCTGTATGGATGGCTGTTGGTGCATCCTCGTCGAAGAGAGCGAAGACGGGTGGAGAGTGTAGAAGCTGTGGCAGCTCGTTGAACGAAGCTTCTTGCTCTTCACCCAATACAAACGCAACGTCTTCCCTTGTAAGGCGGGCGAGTGTAGAGGCGATGTGTGCAAAGCCTGCTATAAATCGTGGGTAGTAGGCTCAGAGCCCCAGAAAACACCTGACCGCTTTCCTATCAGTAGGCCTTGCGATCTTAGCGGCGGCTGCAGTTTTATCTGGGTCAGGCCTCACACCTTCACGACTGACCACGTGTCGCTGGAACTGGAGTTTTTTGAAGCCGAAGTGGCATTTTTCTGGTTTTAGTGTGAGTCCAGCAGACCGTATGACTTGAAGGACTTACAGTAGCCACTTAGGTGTTCTTCGAACGTGACCGAAAATACAATGAAGTCGTCGAGGTACACAAGGCATGCTTTACATTTCATGCCAAAAAGTATGGTATCTTTTAGTCTGTCAAAGGTGGCTGTGGCTGAGCATAGACCGAAAGGGAGGACTTTGAATTAATAAAGCCCGTCTGGCGTCACGAAGGCGGTCTTTTCTCGGTCCCGCTCGTCTACTTCTATTTGCCAGTATCCGCTTTTAAGGTACATTGACGAGAAGTAGCGCGCATGCCGTAGCCTGTCCAAAGAGTCATCGATTCATGGTAACGGATAAACGTGTTTTTTTGTAACGTGGTTCAGCTTAGGATAATCGATGCAGAAACGCAGGCTGCCATCTTTCCTTTTCACGAGTACCACAGGCGATGCCCAAGGACTCTTTGATGGTTAGATTACATCATCCTCTAGCATCTTTTTGACTTGCTGCTGTATTACCTTCCGTTATTTCTGAGCAACGCCATATTGGTTTTGTCAGATTGGTGTTGCTGTGTCTTCCGTAATGATGCGAAGCTTAGAGGTGTTTGACCCACTCGTGATGTCGATGAGAAGCAGTCTTTGAACTGGTTGAGTGGCTCCGTAAGACGGCATCTTTCAGTCGGTGTTAGACTTGGACGAATATCGACTGGTGGTGTATGCGGAGGTGATTGGGCTGTGGCTTCCCTTGCACAAGGAGACAGCCGTGAGAGTAGTCGAGCTCCCCGAGGTACGCCATAGCCATGACTTTAGCAATGTGCCGGCGTATAGCTGCGAGACAGCGACAATATATAGAAATGAAGCGCAACGCCATTCAGCTCATTAAATGTATCTACGGGTGGCAGTATCTATATCTTTTTCAATGTTCGCCTTCCAAATTTTGGAAACATTCAGCCTATATTATGTATTTTTTTCAGGACTGCAATTACGAGTTCTATCCTTTCTATTTTCGCCTATGGATCATTGCTTTCAATGGGCGTGGCACTGACCATATGGTTTCGAGGCTGCGATCCTTTATTATCTGGTGTGATTAATCGTGTTGACCAGGTGAGTGTTCTCGACATTTCGGTTCAGAATATTATATATTTAAAAAACTGACAATGAGCTAGTTAAGTAAGCATATTCAGCGTTCTATGCTCAAAACCACACAATATCATCATGTAATAAAAACAAACATGCAGACAAAAGCTACGTTGACGCCATCAGAATGTTCCGCCTAAACCATGTACGAATGTGCATAACCATTCGCACCTGTCATAACTCATTTGTTTCTTTATTTACTACGCGCGACATTGATATTTTTCTTAGACAAAACAATATTATATAAAGATAACTTACAATATGTTTGAGTCCATTGCCTTCGTAGCCCCCATACGGGAACAGCTGCGGAACTAGTTCATTAGGTCAGTCGTGTACAACCGGAACAATGGCCGCTACCCAGTGATTTCGCAGCCGTCCCACAATCTGTGCTATCATCACTGCGTAGTGGGCCACATAAACAGCTTATACTTGGAAATCGGTGCCATCATACATCATATCAGAAATGTCATTGCGTGAAGTTTAAATGGCTTCGAAGTCAGTGTGGCGTCATAGGAAACTCACAAACCGCTAAAGCTGCTCAGGAAGCTTTTTAAGGATCACAGAAAGATACCACACCACTTTTAAGGTCTGATGCTGCCATAAATCATCTAGGGCTTGCACAGGAGATCAGACTCTCTCCATGGGCACAAAGAACCAGACCAATCTGACCAATTGTTGACATCACCTGTGCATTTTTGTGCATTTTTATATGCCAACCTAATTTTACCCAAGAGCGGCGACACTGCTCCTGGTTTTCGGTCAGATGTGGCATTAACGAAATCTTATTACTTTTACATTGGAATGGCCCACAATGCAACAGTGCACTCTGCAATGCTTGTCGTTAGAAGGAGATGCTACTCCTCACCCTGTCTGGCTCTCCAGTCTAAAATGTTCAGAGACAGTTTCTGGAGTCTGTTCTAGCACATCTTGACAATAGTAAAATGTCTGTTTAATATATTCTTGCCTCCCGTCGACAGAGAACATTGCAGCTGAAAGCAACTAAAGAAATCCTGAGGTTTTCGAGAAAAAAGCCCCCCGCATCTTCCCACTGGGGGAACTCGAGTGATGGTGGTATCGCGTGAATGTAGCGTAGCTGGGTATGGTTTGGGAATGCTTACTTTTTATTTCGTCTTTACCATTGCTATTTATTGAATGAAAGGGAAGTGCTCCTTTAAACGAGTTGTGGGATGCTGATGATGGGCAAGGTCGCACTACTAGTTGAAGGCACTGCTGCTTTCATCACATCTACTCGAGACAAGCAAAGCGTTAAGTCAAGTGAAAGCCAAGTGAAGAAATTCTTGACTGAATTACCAACACGCGATCTTGTGCCTATTTATGTGTCACAAACGACCGCTCATAAATGAGCGCGCCACCGAATTCTTGCGAAAGTGACGACACCAAGCGCCAGAGACGCCTCAACGTCAGCGCTAAAGAAGAAAAACAAGCACCCAAAGACTCTCCGGGTGCACCGTCTCTTCCCCTTGAAAGCGTAGTTTCGCCGACCAACCTCCTCACATCGGCTGCTTAGCAAGCCTTGGAAAGCTCTAGAAGGAAGGGTGCGTGGTGATGCAGAGTTGTGTCACATGTCGCGGACGTCCCTCGAAATGTCTTGTCCTTTCCCCAGCCTTGGCTGTGCATCGCGCCGACGAAACGATGAGAATTTTCTAGAATCTAGTGCGAAAGGTGTTTAAGAGAGCAGCCGAGAAGAGAGATCAGGAGGTGAAGCCAGTTTACGCCAGTGTGCGTAGGTATGAGATGAAGGAAGTTTTGCGCAAGTGGACGTAGGGTCATTCCGCCGTGTCGGTGAAGGCTTTTGTCCTCAGTGACAAAGCAGGTGATGAAGAGAGTTTCCACCTGAGGGGTGAAGGCTTGTGTTACAAGCAGAAGAGTGTGTCTAACGCCAGTGAGCGAAGCCGCGTTGCAGCAGCTGCGCGTGGGAAGCCGACGTGTTACCGGCGAAAACGTTTGGTGCTTGGAGAGCGGCCAAATGAAGACGCGAGGTTTCTTGGAAGAGAAACTTCGGGGGCCGCGGATCGACAACGGCACTAGTCTTTGTGTGAGTTACTCTTGGAAAAGCAACATTAAGACTTTGTTCCGAGGACTTTGGATTGAATAAGTTTTCAAACTCTTTAGACTTTAAGTGTCTTTGTAGTTTGATGCATGTGTATGCTTTGTAGCCCGTATTGTTGTTTATGTCCGTTGTTTCGAGTGTAGCTGATTGTATTGGTTAGTTCAATGTTTGATTGGTGAAATATTGTACTAAACTGTTGCCGAGTGTGCATGTTGTGTACCGTTTGATCGGTCATGCTTGAGAGTATAATTTTGTTTTGTTCATCAACTTTCGGCTCTGACTTGTTCTTTGGACCACAGCCAGCGTCCGCTGGCGCACCGAGTAGGACCACGTCTAAATTGTCCAAGCTTTCGTAGTGCAGTTCGGGGTCAGATACTTCGGCCCTGCGAATTAGCCCTGAAGATCGTCTCCCTAATCAACGGGACATGTGACACCATGTACGTGGTAGCCAGTGAACAATCGTGCAGCGTGAGCAGTCGGATATTTACTGAAGCAAGGTTTTTACTGAAATCGGTATTTTACTGGCAGACGCTGCCTGCGTCGGTTTTTGCGAGGTTAGCGGGGGGGGGGAAGAGGGCACCAGTTGGCACGAGGCGCGAGAAGTGACCATGCACAGTGAGCATGAACGGTGCTGCTGAAGCTGGATTCATGACTTTGTTCGACTAAGAAATGCTCCGCATTTAAGACAGACGTGGACAAGCGACTTAGACTGATATCAAGTATCACGCCGGAGTGATCGACTGTGACTGACTTACTGACTGACCACGTGATTGTGTGTGTAGTGCATTATGCACCATCTTCTCTCTCTATCTCTCTTTTCCAACTTTTTACTCTCCCCTTTTAATCTCCCTGATTATGCTCCTGCGTGTAGGGTATCGAACAACTGTCTATACTGGACGGGTTAACCTCCCTGTCTTTTCTTCTCTCCCATTTTATCTCTCTCTTCAACACAAAGAGTTTTAAATACGCCGTATCCACGATCACACCAAGGGAACAAAAAGTGCAGTAAATACAAAACGACATATTTCAGCCCTCAAAACACCCTCGTTGTCAATGGGCTAACTGAGAAGGATACCTCTAAAGGGAGTGCTGATAATTCGCAGTTTCTTCAAATGTGTGATGAACTCTTCAATTTCGATTGAGTACAGCAGTAAATTGTGAAAGCAGTAAAATCCATGTGCAATTTTAAAAGCTGTTACATTGAGAATTTCGTTAGTCACGTTCTGTGTCCGAGTGAAAGAGCTCGATAGGGCATTTGATTCGTGATAATCGTGGGAGCCATCTCTGTAATTTTGACAATGTGCATGAAAGTTGACAGAAACATGTCGATTGATTCATGAATGCTCTGGTTTTATTCGATCATTTCTTGCAAAAGTAATGTGTTCTATTACGGGATCTTTAAATTTCCTATTGCTTCTATATAAACCCACTTATTTCAATGAAATGTTTGCATTTTTGAACGCGCTTTCGGAAGTGACCGCTTCTTTTGCACATAATTTCTTCATGAACTGCCCCATTGCTTTGTGTCAAGAGCTCGTTACAAGGGTGTTGCGAGCATGCTCAAAGAATTCCTAAGCCTCAAACTCTCCATGCATATTTCAGCTGACCAATACATGTCGCATTCCATAGCTACTCCTAATTAGTTCATTTTAGTGCGCTTAGGAAGTGAACTCTCTTACTACCACTAGTGTGGGTAATTTCAATGATTACATTTTTTCGTGAGTATAAAGTTACCATTGTGTTCATGAATGTCGAAGGTTAGGTAAGTGCTGTGAAATCGTAGCTGTATGTTAGACAGCTTCTCATTCACTTCTGCCTGAAAAATGGGAAGGTACTTGGCAGCTAATCATTACGTAGTATGATGTGCATACAACTACATTTCTGTATCAAATAGACATTGTGAAGTATCATTCGCATGTAGAGTAAACATTACGGGCCCTTGTTGTCGTGCAGTAACGATTAGAGCATTACAAGACTCCTATAAGCATCGGCAATGCATCAGCAGGTGCGGCGATGGCGTAGTGGTTAGAGCATCCGCCTCGCATGCAAGAGGTCCATGGTTCAAATCCCGGCGCCGCGCAGTTCCCAACCGGATTTAAAAAAAAATCCGCGTGTTGATGGAACTGCATTAGGAGGCCTGGGGTGCGGCCTCACCGGTAACCACCGCCGGAAACGCACTCCCTCACCAGAGAAGGATTGGCCACCCTGGTGCAGTATCTGGCCACTACCTCCCACATGCATACGTCAAATAACTCACGGCCCTCAGTCCCCAGCAGCTGCGAAGCAACTGACCACGGCGGCGGTCAGATCTGCAACGCAGCAGAGGGTGCTAAGAATCTCTGGATCCGGACAGGCCGCCATTGGAACCTGAACTTGGCAACGTTTAACGCTAGAACCTTATCTAGTGAGGGAAGTCTAGCTGTACTATTCGAGGAACTAGAGGGTGTTAAATGGGATATAATAGGGCTCAGTGAGGTCAGGAGGACACATTAGGCCTATACTGTGCTACAGAATGGGCACGTCCTTTGCTATCGCGGCTTGGCAGACAGAAGAGAACTGGGAGTGGGGTTCCTAATTCACAGAAACATAGCTGGCAACATAGAGGAATACTATAGCATTAATGAAAGGGTGGTAGGTATTGTAATTAAACTGAATAAAAGATACAAGATGAAGGTAGTACAGGCTTACGCACCTACATCCAGCCATGAGGACGCTTCAGTTGAAAGCTTCTATGAAGACGTGGAATCGGCAATGAGTAAGGTAGAAACACAGTATACTATAGTGATGGGCGACTTCAATGCAAAGATAGGGAAGAAGCAGGCTGGAGACCAGGCAGTAGTAGATTATGGAATCGGCACTAGAAACGCCAGAGGAGAGCTACTAGTAGAATTCGCAG